CCCCCCCCCCCCCCCCCCCGCCATAAAAACACAGGAAGCAGTTCCAGCACCCACCCTCATACACACACAGGGAGCAACCACAGTGCCCCACCTCCCTACACACAGCACTCCTCCAGCACCCATTCCCCCCCATACACACACAGGGGAGCTGCCCCACTCCCCCCCCAATGCGCACACAGGGAGCAACAGCAGCGCCTCACCCCATACAAACACAGAGAGCAACTGTAGCACCCCACCTCTCCCCATCCACACACACACACACACACGGAGCAACAGCAGCGCCTCACCCCATACAAACACAGAGAGCAACTGTAGCAAACTGCAGCACACCCACCCCCATACACACAAACACACAGGGTGCAGATAACAGCTGTAGCACAGCACTCCCCCTCCACGGGGAACAGGGGGGACGGATAACTCAGTGGTTTGAGCATTGGCCTGCTAAACCCACCGTTGTGAGTTCAATCCTTGAAGGGGCCATTTAGGGTTGGAATGTGGGAGGTGGCTCTAGGCTGATGCAGGGGGTTGGGGTGTGGGAGAGAGCACAGGCTCTGGGGCTGGGACCCAGGGGTTCAGAGAGCAGGAGGGGAATCAGGGCTGGGGTGGAGTGGGGCTCAGGGTAAAGATTTACAAGCAGCTCCCAGAAGCAGTGGCAAGTCCCTCCTGTGGCTCCTATGCTGAGGTGCTGGCAGGAGGTTTGCGCTGCACCCACAGCCCCCACTGACTGAGGATCCTGGCCAAAAGGAGCTGCAGGGTTGACGCTTGGGGTGGGCGCAGCATATGGAGCCTCCTGACTGCCTGGAGGTGCTTCCTGGGAGGCTGCCCGAGCCCCACTGGACCCACGACTGGGCAGTATGGCTTGGTCAGCCAAGCAACATGCTGCAGCCCAGGTCCAGGTTGCAGGGAACTGGGCCCCAGCCACCCCTTTCAGTGCTGTACCAGTCCAGGGTACTCATTCATCCTCACCTTTCAGATCCTGGTTTTCCAGCAGGAAGCGCTGCAGGGCCTCATGCCCGGCCAGCTCGGGGGGTAGTTGCCAAGCCGCCACCTTGCCAAGGGATGAGTCCTCACCAAGAGCACTGCAGTCACTGCCTGGGCACCCGCCTGGCTGCACCATCTCACAACTCCGCCGTTGCCGGGTCCCGTTCATCCAGTCTAGCCTGTGAAGAGACATGGCACTATGAGACCTGGGAAACGGAGGGTCCCTGGGCTGGGGAAGGGGGGGGACTGATGCCCTGTCACGAACTGGTGCATCTGAACTTCACCAGCTAAAGTGACCCTACTCAGTTTGGTCTTGAAGGGAACAGAAAAGTGACAAAGCAGAGGATTGTATTCCCCTTGTAAGAGTGCACGTGAGTTCTACCATCCTGTGGTAACCCTGTGTGTGTGTGCCTCAGTTTCCCTGGGCTCTGCACCAATCCCTGGATGGGGATTTCAGGGTGACAACCTCCCTCATGTACACACTGGCTGTGATCCTTCGTACCCCGAGCCGGCACGGGGAGGGCATGGCACCTTTAGCCTGGAAAGCAGGGCAAAGGCCGGAGGAGGAGCTAGGACCAGGCTGCTGCGTGGGTTCGGGGGTTGGGAGGGGGCGGGGCCCTGGCCTGGGCTGTCCTGGCTGATCCTGGTGCCGGTGCTCCCACCGGCTGAGCCCTACGCCTGGCTGGAGGGGGCGGGGGCGGGGCCGGAAATCCCCCAGGCTGCTGCGTGGGTTCGGGGGTTGGGAGGGGGCGGGGCCCTGGCCTGGGCTGTCCTGGCTGATCCTGGTGCCGGTGCTCCCACCGGCTGAGCCCTACGCCTGGCTGGAGGGGGCGGGGGCGGGGCCGGAAATCCCCAACCTCGGCGACAGGAGAACTCGGACGCCTGGATCGCGGTTCGGATACTCGTCGCCCCCGGCTGCCACTTCCCTTTTCCGGGATCGCGGCCCTGTCTCCCCCGGCAGGG